TGTTATGGCTGCAGGGTGTGCAAATTTACAACAGTCTGTGTGAGTAATGCTCAGTAGACTGGCAACACTCTCCTTTACATGTTACAGCAGGGCGCATAATATGCCAATTAATTGTCAACCTTTTGTATTCATAAGTGTTGTTGTGCATTCTTCACACTACTGAGTATGTTAGGGGCTGAATTTTATATGCTGGACTTTTGAAGATCAATCGGGACAGACTTGGAATATGTTCACACATTTCTCATGTTTTGAAATGGAATTGCCCCAGTATTCATCGTCTCAAATTACCTGCATTCCTCTGGGATTGAATTAGTATGTACATAGACTATGAGCAGCATACAGTTTATCAGTTAATTATTTACAAATGTTGATGTCTGTGTGAAAGCTTGGAGGTTTGGTTCAGTCACGGACCACCAGGCTCCAATTAGTGGCAGACATTGGCGAATGGTTTGTGACATGCGGTACCCTATGGCCTCCTTCACGGCTCCCTTAGCAGTTTTAGCGAAGTCCTGAGTTCAGAAGGGTGCAGAAATAATCCTTGAGGGACTTTTATGACTTCAGATTGCAGGATTTGAGTGTTAAGGTTTTCTATATATATTTTTTGCATGTGTCTGCGACTTTCACAGCCCTTAATTGCTTGTTTCTGTGGGGGTTTTTTGTATGTGTGTTGGTGGCGTTATTATTGGAGTGACTGGGGTTTTGTGGGGGGGGGGGTGAGTTACTGTGTGTGGTGGATGTGCTGGCTGGCGGACGGGTGGTGGGGAGGGGGGTCAGAGGACAGGACCTCTCTCAGAGGAGTGGCTGTTAACCCCTGACCTCGCTGGTTAAGCCTGCAGGGTGGTGGCGGTCGAGGCGGAGGTGGGGAGGGGGCACCCTGAGGTCCGTCTGGTTCAGGGGCACATGATGGCAGGCAGAGGGGGTGGTGAGGTGTCTAATCTGGTTTTTGTCTATGAGGCGTTTTCACCTCCCCCACCATCCTTCCTCTGAGAACAGAGTTTGAGAGGCAGGACAATGTCAAAGGGAAGTGACTTATTTTATGAGCCATTTAAAGGAGATGGTGGTCTCCCCACAAAGGAAAGACAGGGTAGCTGTGGAGAGCTGATGAATACCATGACACACAGTCACATGTTTGTTTACAAGATGCTGCTCTCACCATAAATGGCAGTTTTCTTCTTCTGAGCTACACTTGAACAATGTTCTGACTCTGAGTCTTATTACATCTTAAAGTACTTGGGAAGCTGGAGGGGTGAGAGGCCCCTTAAAGGATCTCGCCATAAGACAACTGAGAGCCAGTTCACCCATCACACAAAGACTATTCATGCCAGTGATGGTAGAGGAATGACTGATGCACGGACTGACCAGGCTTATTGTGAAATACTGAGGCTGAAACATGTCACGCAAAGTCCGGCATGATGTTGATTTTAATAGGATCTAACTGCTCTTGTTAACTGTTCACTCTCTTGTGTTCCAGCAGTGCCATTTTTTCTCCCAGCGGTTTGAGAAATTGGCTGCCAAAATGTTTTCACAAAGTATGCATTAGCTAAGAATCTTCAGTTTTCAGAGACTTAATCCTTTGAGCTAACAATGTGACATTTGTACAGACATTCCTGTGAAATATTGACCATCTCACTTTTATTTGTGTACTTTGGTAACTAGGGCTATTTTCCACGTGGATATAGCCCTTTTGATTGTACGCCTCTGCTGTGGGCAAGCAGGGGGCCCTGCTGGAGGAGAGACTGGATGGCTGTTTCACCTAAAAGTTCTCTCTCTCTCTCTCTCTCTCTCTCTCTGTGTGTGTGTGTGTGTGTGTGTGTGTGTGTGTGTGTGTGTGTGTGTGTGTGTGTGTGTGTGTGTGTGTGTGTGTGTGTGTGTGTGTGTGTGTGTGTGTGTGTGTGTGTGTGTGTGTGTGTGTGTGTGTGTGTGTCTCCCTGTACCTCCAATCATGCTGGTACAAAGAGCCATGTGTTGAGCAGTGATGTGATGTGTGAATATGTTTAGGTAGGGACTGCCAACTATGCCTGGGTATGTCTGTGTGTGTGTGCATATGTGTACAGGAGGGGGTCGGGTAGAATGGGTGAGGGTTGGAGAGAGAGAGAGAGAGAAGTTTGGGGAGAGGACTGTGAGAGAAGGAGTGACTTGAGGCTTATTTGGACTTGATCCCAGACAGAAGGGTCCAGTTTATGGCGCCAGGGTGCATCCCTCCCTCTGGTGCCCTGTTTAGATGATTATATTGCCATGAGTCACTTCTGACCCTGAAGTTTAATTTTTGAACATTTGAGCTACTATTTCAGACATGCAGGGGACTTCTCTGAACATATTTTGTGCTGTTCAGTTGGATGCTGCTGAAGCCAAACTAAGTCACCACAGACTTTTAGGGAACCTGACCTACAAAGGTGTTTTCTCCTCATATGTATAGTATGTATGTGTAAAATGACAAAAGGGAACAAAGTTTAGTCTTGTTTTTGTGACAGAAGTCAATGGGTGTTTCTATTACGTGCACAAAAGGAAGGAAAACAACCTCAAGATGTGATAGAAAAACAAATTCTCATGGCTCAGGTTGTTATGGCGACGCATTAAACATGGTGACCGCCAGTGAAGGTAACAGAAACATCCCACAGTGGATGATCAAACCGGAGGAACTGTGACATCCTGAACCAAAATACTGCCAAGTTTAACCTAATAACAGGTTTCTTTCTTTCCGTTTTCATGGTTAGAAATACACTTAAATTCAAATTTCAACCGATGTTTCATCCACACAAACCTTTTGTACAAACCAAAAATATTTAAATATTTGAAATGAAACCATCCTGTTGTCTTATTACTTGGTTGTCTCGTGGTCTGTTCACTTGTCATTCATAGCTAGATAAGTCCTCTGTTGATCCCTTACCCTGGAAATGAGCAAGTAAACATACAATCACAGTTAATATGAAGAGCTGGTAAAATAAACACAGTGACATTGATTGCTGTGGGTATAAAGGGATTCTGTAAACTTTTATTAAATGTATTTATAGTAACCATTTAGATGTGTCAATTAAGGCTCTGAGAGTCTGGGAATATTTGGTTTAGGTACCTTGAAAATGCTTTAAAATGTTGCTTTTAAAAGGCTGTATGAACCCTGTAATAGGCAACAAAATACAACATTTGTTCATGCCTCACATGCTAACAAAGCAGGAATAAAAGCGAGGAAGTCATCTTATACTTCCGGCACTGGCACGAGCAGGACGCTTATCCAGTAGCTCCGTGCGTGTCGTGTTGTTTCTTGAATTTCCCTCAGGATAAATAAAGTATCTGTCTATCTACCATTAAATAGCATAACAAGGTTTGCCATTTAGATCCTTTATATGCTTCATACTTTTTTGCAGTCTTCTGTTGTTACTTGGAGGAAGTTACTTTTATGGTATTTTTTTTATTTTTTATTACAACTGTTGTGAAGCAAATACAGTGAAATTAAAGGAACTGCAGGGAAGAAATGCCTTTATTGATAACAGTTAGATAAGTCACAAGACCCAGTTAACACCTGTTCACAATTAGATTTTCCTGTAGCTTTAAATGAAACACTGACACATTTCTAGGTTTAATATAAAAGAACCACGCAGGGTAAACCTGGAGTCAGCATTGTCTCTTTAGGCTGAAATTTATTCTGTGGGTGTTTTAATGAGTCTTTTAATGATTGCTGGAAAACATCACAGGTAATATTAAAGCTCCAGTCCATGTAAGTAGCAGTAACCTGTGCATGCACACAGTCCTCGAGTCAGTGAGCACGGCCTGGTGGGGAAAACTAAACAGGCCGTTGGTGCCTGGATGCAGTGAAAGGATCCCTGTGTTCTCCCAAATTCCGACAGCTACGTTTAAAACAAAACATTATTGCAGCTGCGACTTTGCATTCGTCCTCCCCTGACCCTCCTTTTAATTTGACGTTTAACTCACTTTTGAGAAAGTTGGCAGTTGCTGTTTTATCAAAGACAGTATTTAGCTTTTGAGTAATGGTTTTGATTTGGAAAACCGAGTAAAAAGCCGTGTCCACCCTAGCGGAGATCTGTCTGAGAGAAATGTCTGTCTGCACAAGCATTTTCAGAACATATCTTCCAACACACAAAAACACTTCACATCTCTCCCGATTGCCATGTGAGGGCCACTTAATCTAAGCAGCTTTTCACTGTTTCCAGCAAGTGGCTTTCTGCTGGTTTTAAAGTGTTTGTTTACAGAGCCAGCATTAACAAAGAGAGCATCATCCATTCAAAAATGTATCACATGACTGTCAGATGCCTGAGATCACATGGAAATCATACATATGCATTTCAGAAAGGTGCTTGGTGATACAACAGACAGAAGACTGTGGCTTTCTTGCATTTTTAAAATGCTGCTGTATATGGAGGCAAAGCCAAAATGATGGAGGGAAAAAAAGCCCTTTTTAGATTTATCTGCATCTATGTGTCAAAGGGTTAGGGTTAGGGTGGAGTCAAAGTGGGGGGAAGAGCTAATCCTCTCCTCTTAAAAGTCTGTGTTTTAGAAGGACATCGCACTCAGAGAAAACTACAGCACTGAACTATCAATCAGGACAGGGAAGTGCCAGGATAAGAGCAAGGCTTTATAAAGTGGCCGGCTAAAGACTGCTCTGGGCTGAGTGTCGCAATTAATCCACTTAAGTGCAGTTAAGGGGGTTTTCACAGCCAAGGTGCAGGTTGATTTGGTGAGGGGTGAAGTTGTTACTTTGAATGGTTTCATCCCAGACAAAAGCAAGAAATTGGGTTAATGGTGGATGTATATGTGTGTAACTGCACAGACATTAACAAAGCCACTCTATAGATGTACAGATTGTGAATGGTTATTTAAATGTAATCATCACTTTTAGAGGCCGGTCGTTGTGTTCTGAACTTTGTCTGGTCTTATTTTTCTATTCTAACATAACCGATGGGAGGTGTTTTGCATTGATTTGATTCGTTATGACAGTTTCCTGGATCACATGTTGTTGAACGGTGTATTCTCCTCGTCTTTTCCAGGAGCCCCCTTGAAAGTGTGTCCGCAGGGTTTCTCCTGCTGCACGGTGGAGATGGAGGAGAAGCTGAGCCAGCAGAGCCACACGGAGATCAAAGCTCCCGTCTCCAAGCTTAGCACCAACCTACAATCCACCTTCAAACAGAGGCACGACCACTTTGACAGTAAGCAAACACACTTACACCAACAAACACACACACGCACAGCAGCCACTGTTCAGGCTACATTGTGTTGCTGGCTAGCGTCCCTAAAGCAGCACTTGTGTTGCATGATTTTTGACGGACGCTCCCACCTGCTAGTGCACTGCCCGGAGCGGAGACAGTCAGTCTGTGTCCGTTGGCTCGTCCACCTGTCTCTCAATGTCTCAGCTCCCTGCCTCATCGTCCCCCACTACCCGCTTCCCTGCCCTCCAGAGACACATGCACGCTTCCAGACGGACCACACACATCCTCAGATTTAGTCTTCTCTGTACTTCCTGTTCCTCTGTGTGTGCACACATGTGTGTATGCCTGTAAATATTGGGATCAGGTTTCCTTGGGAGTGCATGGGAACATGCAACAGTGCTGAGTCACCAAGGAAGTGGGGCAGCTCTGAATACCTTCATCCACCCAACCGTGCTACCACCGCAGCTCTGCAGGAAAGAAATTTGATGAGATAAGATAAGAATTTTCTCAATCAGATAGATAGAAAAGTAAGAACACGTTGGATTTAAAAACATTTTTTAACATATTTGAGTTTGGCTTGTTCGGGGTGGTTACATGCCTGTTTTGATGCATTTGTGTGTACACATGCGTGCCTGTGCATATGCGGGTCAAAGACCTTCAGATCTTATGTGTCTGTGAAAGAGAGTGAGGGATAGTCAGTAATAGGGAGCGTGTGTATTGCAGCCAGATGTGAACAGGAATGTGACGTGTCGGAATGCAGTGGCTGCTCGAGCCGTCCCGCCCCTCTTTTTCTCCTCTCTTACTGCCCTTTGTCCCCATCTCATGCCTCACTCTCCCAAAAAACCCTCTCTTTGCCCCACAGACCCTTCTTTCTCTTTCCATCTCTCTCTGCTATGTACAATGAGCTGTTGCTCATGTTTCACTGTATGCATCTTCTCATGTCTTTGCTGCTTTCTTACACAACTCAGTTGGTGCTTTTCTGTGACGGCTACAACTAATTATTCTCTCAGTCAGTTAATCTGCTAATTATTTTTACGTGCCAGTGTTGGATCTTTTAAAATAAAGCCCAATTGGGAAAAGTGCCTGCCACAAGTTCCAAGAGCCCGTGGTGATGTTTTCGGATGTCTTGCATCCAAAGATATTCAGTTTATTGTCATAGAAGATGCAAAGAAAACTAGAACTAGAAACCAGTGTTTGGGGTGTTTTATGCTTTAAAAATTACATAAATTAATGGTAATTTGATTATGAACTTTTTGCTAATTGATTTCCATCGATTAATTGAATAATCATTGCACCTCTACATGTCAGGTTGCCTTGAAGTCTAATTATATATCACAGTGTCCCAAAATCTCTGTAGATAATGATTTGAGACTAATTAACTAAACTATGACATTTGGAAGTTTTGCAAGATTTCTTAATGAAATTGTTGGTGTAAAGACAAAATCTGACAACTCAACCTTTCCTTACTCTGCACCCTACATCAGCCATAGCTGGTGCTTTTATTTATTTCTTTTTCTTGTGAGAACATAAAAGTGCTTGTCACAATAAGAAAGAAAAGGAGAAATGAATTTGTGGTTGAATAAAGGTGAAACTTCTTGGAGCTGCTTTGCATTTGGTCTATTGGGGCTACATGTGGTTAAGTATTTATAATCTGCAAATTTAGTGATGGATGTGTTCCTGTACCATTGTTAAACATCTGAGGAAAATAGCACAATTTCCTCTTTTGTTTTGCGTAACTGTAAAACATCTGCTGTCAAAACTTCTCTGTGGCTTCAGCTGAGAGTTTTTTAAAAGAGAAGTCTGTGTTTCCCTCATGTCATACATCATATCACACCACCAAACAACAAAGAATGATATATTATTGTATTCTATTGTATCATATTAGTCATATTTCTACTAGACAGGTTTTTATTCTAAGATCCAACTTAAAATGTTTTTAAAAACATTACAACAGACTAATCATTTAAAAATGGACTGAACAACTGTAGGGTCATCTATTTGACCAAGAGGGGGCAGCCCTCAAACTGACAGTGAAACTCTTCCCTGCACTTCATTCACCTTCACTCCCCTTTTGTGCCCCCTCCTCATCACTGTAGGCAAGTTGCTGCTGTCTCTGAGCTGTTAGATGTGGGATCTCTTTACAAAGGCCTGCTGTGCTCTCTTCCAGCCGGGCCATTAGACCGTCTCTCTCACTGGATACGGTGACAGGCTCAGGTTGCTGTCCTATTATTTCTCGTTGTCACATCGAGACACCCAGAAGGAGGCACTTCCCGTTTGGTTGAGACTGGCACAGGAAGTGCTTATCATTGTTTTTACTGTTACTGAAGAGGACGGCCGACAATGTTAATGTCATCTAACTGCTCAGGAGAAGAGGGGTGCATATGTGCATAAACACAGCTGCAGCTGTACATGAAAACAGACGCAACAACATACACTCACACTAACAAACTCAGGAAGTGGTGTATGTGATTAGGCAGGCTCTCATCATGCGCCTGGAGCTACGAGTCATGGCCAATTAAGACCAGGGCCAGAAATAGTTCTCCCCTCTCCGTGTCTCCTCACTGTGTGTTTGTCCTGGCCTCAGCCTGTCTGTCCTGTTTCACTGACCCCGTCCAGCAGAGCAAGCCTATGTCTGGGATTTAAGCACTTGGATTAAGGCCCCTTGTCTCCACACACAACAAGAGACATCCATCCAAAGCACTGAAGTACAACAGCAGGAGGGACAGAATCCTATCCCATAAGAAAAGGGAGAAGCGCAGGGACTAATTGGCACAAATAGGATGCAATTACTGCCTGGGCTGGGATTGGGAGGAGCAGAGTTTATAGGGACACGGGTGGGGGTGTGGGGGGAGATGGGGGGGGAGGTTGGAAGCTCCTTGGAGGAGGAAGTAGGAGGGGAGGAGTGGGAGGAGATTGGTCAGCTCCTCTGTTCCTGTGATGGATTGGGCCTAAGATCATTGCTCATAATTTAGGGCCTTCACTGCAACATGTGGAAATGATGACAGGGTGAGGGGAGGGAGAAGGAAAAGACAGACAACTCACAGAGGCAGAAGTTGTCCTTCTCCCTTACATTTCGCTACAGCTTACACTCTCTCCCGTGTAACCTTTCACCTAGATTCTGTCAGACCATTGGCTGAGCGACAGGCGCATTTTTTAATGGAAAAATCCTGAGGGAGTGCTCAGCTCCTCGGCCTGTTGGCAGACGGCTGTGTGTCATAAACTGTTTTTAATGACAATGCAAGATGCCTGTGTAATGCTGCTCATGCTTCAGACCCTCGGCTTGGGCCAAAGAACCCCCCCAACCTCCCTCCGCTGCCACCACTCGCACACACCCTGCACAGGCCGCTCTCTTTATAACCAGTGGGTTTGTCCTAACTCATTACAAGGCTTATCTGTTTAGCATATAGGCATTACCGCACTAATAAACTGTAGGAAGGAAATAGAGAAGTTTAGGGTTGTTCTCCTGCTTCATGCCTCTTCCTCCTCCTCTTCACCTCCTCCGTCTCCTTTCACTGACTTTAAACTTGTGGCTACTATGACATTCCAGGGGTGGGGGTGGACCTTTTGTTTTAATCTCTGTCAATGGAGCGTGGAACTTGGTGCCCTCTCCCCTAGCTTTGTATGTGTGTGTGTGTGTTGGGGGGGGACAATTATGGCGGGGAGGTAAATGGAGGGGCTGCAGTGTTTCCGGTATCCTTGGCGACACAGTGGGGATTTGGAGTTAAAAAAGCCCTCAACTTAACCCTCCCCAAGCCACCATCACCCCTCCCCTACCTCATTTTTTCTTTTTAGTGTGTCAGTCTGAAGTGGAAGTGACAGCGCTACTTGGGGACTGTGTGTGTGTGTGTGTGTGTGTGTGTGTGTGTGTGTGTGTGTGTGTGTGTGTGTGTGTGTGTGTGTGTGTGTGTGTGTGTGTGTGTGTGTGTGTGTGTGTGTGTGTGTGTGTGTGTGTGTGTGTGTGTGTGTGTGTGTGTGTGTATTTGTGTGTGTACTGGTGGCAGGGAGCGTTTAGTGACTCCCTCTGTGAGAGCATGGGAACTTTACATTTCAAAGCCAAGCAGAGGGCACCCAGAGAAACTGCAGTGGGACAGAAGTTTTGTGCGCACGGGGCAGTGAAGGGGAGACAGAGAGTGGGTAAAAAGAGAAAGATGAGTGAAAGGGGGTGAGTGTATGCATGCATGCACGCGAGACTGAAGGTGAAGCATTTTTTTTAGAGAGTCTGAGGAATTCTCATTTTGTTCAGATTAAGAAAGTTGGGGGGCGAGGAGGAGGTGTCCGTGGGAGAAGGGGCTTGGATTATTGGGGGTGGGGGAAAGCGGTGAGGGGGGGCGGGTGATGGACATTCCTCAGGATGAAGTAGGTCATTGTTCCCTGTCTCTAGTGAAGAGAGCTCTCTGAAGGAACTGATGAAGTGAAAGCAGCGGAGGGAGGGAGATGCAAAGCTGGATGGGGTGGTGGGGGGGGTACAGGTCCATATACGGGAGGGGAAGTGGGGAGGGGGTCGCATTATTCAGTAATCCTATTGAAAATGCCTCTGAAGGACAGTCCAAGAGAAGCTGAGAGAAAGGAAAGCGAATGGAATGTGACAACAGAAAAATGCCATTGATGGTGGTCAGTTTGAAGCGGCTTGATGTGGAGAGACGTCTCTGCTGAATGGCAAGTCTACAGAGCAAGGAGCAGCGCCGCTCGTTCAGCCTGACAGAGATGCTCCGGCTCCACCTTTCACCCCTCCTGCTTCACTCCTCTCCAACCGTCCCCCTTCCCATAACACATTCCTTTGCCTTTCATCCAAGATTTTATGCTTAAGCTGTTTCTGTTGAGATACTCAAAATGTCAGGACATGGGCACAGGTGAAGTGGAATGACCACCAATCTGATCTGAAAAGGTGGCGTCCGCACAGGCATAGAGTCAGAAAACAAGGGTGTATCAGGACCTTCAGATGCACTAGCCTTGTGGTCGTAATATTGCAGTTTTGAAATGTTCATTTTGTCAGACAACAACAATCCTTTAGTTATTTACATACACTGTGGTCATGCTGGAATCTGTATATTTCAGTAACTTGATGAAAACCTTACAATGTGCTTGTGTGTAGCCTCATATTTTGTAATGGGATACCCACAAAGTGTGAATTTGCTGTTCCCAAACAAGTAAAATCATAAGCAGAAGTTATTGAGTTAAAGATAGATAAAATCAGCACTCAGTCTCTGTAGATGTCCCAAACAATATGTTATCTATCATACGAATTCAATTTCCTTTGTAACATCTTTAATATAATCCCTCCCCTTAGACGGACATGAAATGTGAACAATGGAAGATTGTTTGTTCTGGTTCTTTGGCAGTCTCAACATTTAGTCATCACACTAATCCCCCTCCTCTTTCTTTTCTCCACAGAGTTTTTCCGTGAGCTTTTGAAAAATGCAGAGGTCTCTCTGAACAACATGTTTGTGCGAACATATGGGATGATGTACGTGCAGAACGCAGAACTGTTTAAAAACTTCTTCGAGGCCCTGACTCGGTACTACGTGTCTGGCAGCGCTGCTGTCAACCTGGACTCCATGCTGTCAGACTTCTGGGCCGACCTCCTGGAGAGGATGTTCCGGCTGGTCAACGTGCAGTACGAATTCAGCGATGCCTACATGGAGTGCGTGAGCCGGCACACGGACCAGCTGCAGCCCTTCGGCGATGTGCCTCGCAAGCTCCGCATCCAACTGACACGTGCCTTCGTTGCTGCACGCACCTTTGTGCGCGGCCTGGCGCTCATGCCAGATGTGGTCAACAGAGTTTCCACGGTAAGTTTAAAGGTGTTTGTGGAGCTTTTATCTTTGCTAAAAAAGGCAGTCTACCAGACACTGAGAAGGTTTTTTCTTCCCAAAAGCTCTGTCCATCCCTCCCTTCTGTGTTTCTGACTTCATATCTGCAATATGGAAAAAACTGGCTGCGGGTCCATTACAGTGTCTCTGATAACATAAACCACTTTGACTGTTCTGGTATGGCATGTTTTTACACTGTAGTGAGTGATTCATCGGTGATTAGATTATACTGCTCTGTGGACTTTGCTTATAAAATTAATGGTCATGCTTTTTCATAGTCCAAGTATGTGTCTATGGTGGTGTTAGACGAGTGTTTTTGCTGTGGTGCAATGATAACAGTCTCCTAACTACCCCCTGCCTCCAGGTCAGCGCGTCTCCCAGCTGTGTGCGAGCGGCCATGAAGATGTTGTACTGTCCCTACTGCTCAGGCCAAGTGGCCCTGAAACCCTGCCAGAATTACTGTCTGAATGTGCTGCGTGGGTGTCTGGCCAACCAAGCCGACTTGGACACAGAATGGAACAATTTCCTCGGTAAGTGACCGTGATGTGAAAAAGGACACCTTCTGCAGCCAATAAACTAACCTAACCTGAGCTGCTAAACCACAATAGTGTTTGATTTGTAAACTGAGTATATTTGAACAGCTCCAAGTTGCCACTGCAGTGTTCATGTTTAACCAAAGAATCATTAAAGTTTGCTCTTATCTAACCTAATCCACTCAGCGTTATCTAAATATTCACCTCTCTTTACCCTTGTGGGCATGAAACCAGTGTGACATGATGGGATTGGTGCCATGATGAAACTGGGGTGATTAGATGAGAGAGATATTTTTTCCAGTGTATTCAGTTGGGTTATTGCACTTCAGTTTAGCAAGACCATGTTTCACAAAGGGACACAGTGTTTATTGTAAAAAAAAAAAAAAACATGTACTAACACATCCCTCATTCTTTAGTATCTTGTATAAGTACGAGAGGGAGGGGTTGTCCAAGTTGTACATGTTGTGACCCACAGGATGAATGCAGCTCCTGTGTTGTATAAACACAGATCCAGATCAGTTTCATTACATTCAGGGTTGGATATGTTCACTGTTCTCACCTGTATTTACAGAGTCTACATGACTCAATCATGTGACAAAAGATGTTTCCCGGCTTCTATACCAACCATTACATGTGTTTATCCCTGGCTGCTGACACTGCTACTGTCTGTGGAGTCGCCTGGTTTCTGCTGCCTCCTCACGCTGCTGCAGCTTTACTCTGCCATAATCTGAGGGCTCAGTCTCACTGGTTAACACTTCCCCCTAGTGGCAACCTTTTGTAACATCAAGCTTAACTGAAGAAATGTGCAATTTGTGCCATTTTTAATGTTATGTTCTTATGTTCTGGTTTCCAGATGCCATGCTTAGTCTAGCTGAGAGGCTTGAGGGTCCCTTTAATTTTGAGTCCGTCATGGATCCCATCGACGTGAAGATTTCAGAGGCCATCATGAACATGCAGGAGAACAGCATGCAAGTGTCGCAGAAGGTCAGTATCTTTTTACTGCATTTATAAAAGAAAGACGAGAGATAAAGATAATCAGTTCTATTAACTTCGCTTCACTTCATTTCTGGCAGGTTTTCCAAGGATGTGGTCAGCCTAAACCAAGCATGGCCTTCCGTTCCGCACGCTCTCTCAAGGAAACAGGCTTTACCGGCCGCTTCCGTCCCTACAGTCCTGATGCCAGGCCCACCACCGCTGCAGGGACCAGTTTAGATCGACTGGTAAGGACCAAGAACTACTACAGAATACTTTCGCTTTGCTTTATGTTATCATGTCTGACTTGTTTTTGTGTATTATTCATGCAGACAAATGATGTGAAGAAGAAGTTGAAACATGCAAAGAAGTTCTGGTCCACATTGCCAGAGACCGTGTGTGCAGGTGAGAGGATTGCACCTGGGGACGAGTGCTGGAATGGAACAGCAAAAAGCAGGTAAGATACACACACTTACAGGATCTAAACTGTAATGTTTGTGAAGTATTGTAAGATACTCACAACATGCTTACTAATATTGACTCTCACTCTACATAGGTACGAGTCAGTTGTCATGGGCAATGGTCTGGCCAATCAGGTGTCAAACCCTGACGTGGAAGTGGACATAACAAAGCCAGACATTGTAATCCGCAGTCAGATTGCAGCTTTGAAGGAAATGACGAGCTGGCTCAAAGCTGCGCACAGCGGCAATGACATCTCCATTGATAACGGTGAGGATGGTTAACCTTCTTCAGGATTTTCTTTATGACATAACATCTAAGTTGAATACATCTGACCATTGTATCATTTCTTTCCAGATGAGGATGGCAGTGGAGGAGAGGAGAGCGGCAGCGGTTGCGACTCACCATCCTGCGACACAGATCGGGACATCTACTTCTCCACTCCACCGAACACCGGCAATCCCCGGGTTAATCAAGTGGTGGTGCGTCCATCAGCTGCAGTCGCCTCACAGGGAAGCATGGCGCTGGCGCTCTGCGGGCTGGCTCTGGCCCTTCTTGCTCCCCACTTGAGATAAAACTGGCTGGGCAGGGAGAGGAAGAGAACGACCAGGAATGACGGAGCGAAGGGGAAAACTGTCAGAGAGACTTTAAAAAGACTGCCTTCAGGACCTTGGACTGTCCGCCATTTGGGGGGGGGAGACTCTTAATATTACAATAACTTCACTTTTAATTATTTGTTTGTATGTTTTTAAGGACATCAGTGTACAGCAATATGATTTTCTTCCCAAGAAATCCACCTTTTATCCCATTTTCCCCCAGATAAACCTTTACTCCTTATGGCTCTTTTGGAGCTACACTATGGTTCTGCTTGCAGCATTACAAACATATAATTGTCTTGTTTTGGCAATTTAATCTCATAATTCATTTTTGTGCCTTCTTCAATGATTGCCATCTGACAACTAAACAAAAAGCGAGATATTTGGTTGAACATTGAGTGCCTGTGGTGGGACATATTTCTGAGGATGTTCTTTCTTTACATTATTCAGAGATCAACAAATTATGTAATGTTGTTATGAATATTAACAGTTTATAACAATCGTTTTTTTTTTTTTTTTTGCACATTATGAATGTGCATACTGTGAATGTTGGTGTCTTTGCATTTATACATTTACATACATCAGCCGGTCAGATAGGATGAAGCTAGCTGTCTCTAAACTAAGGAAGAGTTGGAGCTTTTGTTTGCTTTGCTTTGGAGAGACTTTAAAAATCTTTCATCTCTCAGAAATACAGTGAGAGAAGTTACAGCACAGGTATTTATGTTTGACCTGGAGATGGAATCATTCTTTAGAAGAGCTTTTTGGGGCACTCTGCGAGCCCAAACATGCATATTGTATGTCTGCTAAGAGCATTATCACAACCTAACTTTTTACATTTTTAATTTAATTTCCTCAGCTTAAACAGTTCAGTAGTAAGGTCATACCTCATGCATGCTCTCATTGTCAATGCAATCTCGTGATGTTGAGTTTGAAAGTGTCTGATAGAGTTGAGATATGTGGCTGGCATCCTGGTGAAAGGTAACTGGCGTGGAAGAGGAAGGACTCCCCTGGCATTACCCCTAAAGAAGGCAAAGCTGACAAGTCCTGAATGCCCTTTTTGGTACTGTAAGCTCAGTTCAGCACAGAGGATCTGACTCTATACAGTCTTACTTGTTTGAAAAGATAAAGGTGGCAACATGTATGTTCAGAGCATTTCACACTAAACTAGAGAAGCGGAACAAAAGACAGTGCTTTGATCAAATTAAATCAAGAAAGATTATTTTAATACAGGGTTTTATGTTGAAGAGGTGTTGTAATTTTTAGCTATTTTTGGTATGAAGATATATATTAGGTACTACAGTGGATTTTACTGCTAGTTTTAGGTGGTGGAAGAGGACAGTGTGCACAGATATTGGGGGCACTTTTTGGTCAGTGTGCACAGTTTTTGGGGGATCTTTTTTTTTTTTTTTTTGCCCACATCCCCCATCCCACAATACACACTTGTACCTCTTAAATGGCCTCTGTCAGTATAAATGGACTCATCCTGAACCATTTAATCTACCTATCCTCATGGTTCTCATGTCAACTTGAGGTGGAATGTTGAAGTATTGTCACAAGTGCTACCAAAATTAATGCAATGTATGGTGCCTGATCTTTTTTTTTTTTTAACCGTGGTACATTACTAGCAACTTCTTGAGGTAAAAAAAAAAAAGAATGTGGATGTTGATGATTTGTATCTATTATCTGCTCAGATTCCCTGGAAGATGTTTGAGTACATTTTTACCATCTTCTGTATCTTCTAATTTGATAATCAGGTCTGTTAAGTTGCATTACCTGGACATTTCATTTCTAAAATGATGCTGCCTCATGTAGCTTTGTACAGTAACTTATGCATGTGTTTTAATGTCACTGCAAACATGCTTTTAGAACTGACATAGATTAAACAAAATACAGTATTCAGAATGTTTCGATATGCAAAACATATGTGAAAATAATAAATTTCTCAAAGTGATGGATTAAATTGATCAGATTTGGGGGGTTTAAATATGCATTTTTGTAAAAAACTGAAAAATGGATTTGCATGTTTCACATTTGCCTGCAGGTCTGAAACAACTGGCTGCAGTTTAGACACTTGGTAGTCAAGATGCCTTTTGTTTGGCTCTGAAATTGACAGGTTGATTGTAAGCTTGCATGACATTTTCTTCCAAAAAAAAAGTTATGTTCCCAATTAACAGACTTGGAACAAATCAACAAGGACATCAATATTAAGAATCTGACTTTGAAAGGATTTGATGAAACATCTAAACAACCCACTTTAAAATACTGAAGCCTTAATTTAAAACGCTTACTTGGCATTACTTCTGCATGTGACCGGTTCAGTTCTCCTAATTTTTTTGTGTTCCACCAACATTTCTACAAGGGCTTGTGCATGTGTTCGTGTCATGTGGAAGAATTGTGTCAAGTGTGAAGAGACCCAATTTTCTGAGAGTCAGGTTTTGGGTGATGATGGTAAATGTCTGTGCTTGCGGGCCAGGGCAGCAACATTTTCAGGCGGGCAGGAGTTGGTCCAGCAGCCGGATGTTGTTCATTTGATCCACAGAACAACTTCAGTCCAGTGACTTGAAAGTTGAGTTGGACATGTGTTGAAAGCCTTTCATCAGCCTTTGGCCCACAAGAACAGAAAGGACTCATTTTCTGAGGAGAGACTGAGTGACTGAAAAAAATAAAAAAAGTGTGTAAATAAAGAGCAGCCGTTTTAGATGTCTCTAAAAGAGGCCGTAACAGTTCACCAGATTTTTACTTGTCAGAGTATCTCCTAAATGTTATGGAAAAAACAAGATGAGATAGATGTTAAATTGTAAGAGAAAATGTATATTAAACAACATTTCTTAGTCTTGTTGAAATAAAGACTGCCAATATTTAAAATGGTTGTGAATTGTTTCATTTTATCAACTCTCTTGATTGACTGGTGTCACTTTATTTAGATGTTTAAGTGTCCGGAGTTTCAGGTAAGAATCAACATAGTGTGAAAAGTGGTCAAAAATTTAGTCTAAATAAAGCTGATGTAAAATGCTGCATTAACATTTTTAGTTTGGGGGATCAATGTTTAAAAAAAAAAAAAAACAGGTTGTGTTTTCTTTGAGTTTGTAAATAATATTGTGCCATACACAAAATGACAAAAAAATGTTGTGGCTTTGTAACAGCAATTAAACTACAATATAGTACAAGTAGACTGCAGCTACTCCCACTGTCCATAATCTGAATACTTTAACTTATGGTCAAACATGCAGAAGGCTTTGGCCACAGCCCATCAGCTGCCTGGTACAGAATAAATGGATGTCGCACAGATCAGGCAGAAAACACATTGTCTCAATGTTACCAGTGTTCAGTATTTAAAGGTCCAGTGTTTAACATTTCTATTGACAGACATGGGACATAATATTAATGTATGTTTTAACAAGTGTATAATTACCTAAATATAGGAATTGTTGTGTTTTTGTTACCTTACAATGAGCCGTTTTTGTCTTCAGAGGCTGCAGGTCGTCTTCCACGGAGTCTGCCATGTTCAACCTCCATGTTTCTACAGTAGCCCAGAACAGACACTGGCTCTACACAAGGTCTTTTGAGTTGTTCGAGTTTCACAGCCACCGTAATTTCTCCTACATACTTCTCATTCAGTCACTTGGGACCTTCTACTTCACTGCTAGATGCCACTAAATCCAACACACTGGTCATTTAAAGACAAAGCTACTTTCTGGGAATCAGTCAAATTACTTAATAAAACTAAACGTGTATGTTACACTTGTTTTTCATCACATGTTAGTAGAGATCTTTCTGCTCTAGATAGTGAATGTGAAACATGGAAATTTAGTGATTAAACAATTACATGTCATCCTCTAATGGTATGTGATTCAGATTTAAAGCAGCAAATTCAGGGAAAGAAACTATCACTATTTTCCAGATGACAGTAAACCATGACTTCACTGTTGTGGGTGGTTAGGCGTACTAGTACAATAGTGCACACTGCTGGGCGCACCCATTGGTGATGCTGGCTGTGGTGGTCAGAGGTGAAACAGATTTAAAGTTTTCAACCCACTGTTAATGACTTACAGAGACGTTTCTACTAATACACATGTTGTTTTTGATTATAGTGGGCCTAGAGAGTCACTATTTCTACATTTCACAGGTTTTAGTCAAAACAAATCAGACAATAACTCAAATTATATTAAATTTAAATGGATTTAGTATGTTTTCACCAGAATTATATTCCTCATAATGTGGAGAGGGCTTTGAACCAGCTTGGGGAATACTTTGCCCTGTTAAATGCATAAGAATATGGGTGAATGGAAAAGTGATGCATTTAAGTCCAAGATCTTAACTACAGCCCTGCTCGCAACCAACTCACTTGGTGTTTTCACTCCCATTTAACAGTGACGGAAGACCAGTTATATACTGTTATATATTGTTATACAGTTATATACAGTTATATACAGTTATACACTGTTATATACAGTTATATACAGTTATATACTGTTATATACTGTTATACACTGTTATATACAGTCATATATTGTTATATACAGTTATATACAGTTATACATTATATACAGTTATATACTGTTATATACTGTTATATACAGTTATATACAGTTATACACAGTTATATACAGTTATATACTGTTATATACTGTTATATACTGTTATATACAGTAATATACAGTTATATATTGTTATATAGTTATATACTGTTATATATTGTTATATACTGTTATGTACAGTTATATACTGTTATATATTGTTATATACTGTTATATACAGTTATATACAGTTATATATTGTTATATAGTTATATACTGTTATATATTGTTATATACTGTTATATACTGTTATATACAGTTATACACTGTTATATACATTATATACAGTTATATAGAGTTATATACTGTTATATACTGTTAGATAGATTTATATACAGTTATATACAGTTATATAGAGTTATATACAGTTATATACTGTTATATACAGTTATATATTGTTATATACTGTTATATATTGTTATATACTGTTATATACAGTTATATAGAGTTATATACTGTTATATAGAGTTATATACTGTTATATACTGTTATATAGAGTTATATACTGTTATATAGTTATATACTGTTATATAGAGTTATATACTGTTATATACTGTTATATACTGTTATATATTGTTATATAGAGTTATATACTGTTATATACAGTTATATATTGTTATATAGAGTTATATACTGTTATATATTGTTATATATTGTTATATATTGTTATATACTGTTATATATAGTTATATATTGTTATATAGAGTTATATAGAGTTAGATAGATTTATATAGAAAGTGTTCAATGTTCATATTAGAAGGTTCAAATCTCCTATAAACCACGATCAGCTTTAATGCTTGACTGTCGTTAAAAATGAAAACAAACAAACAGTTTTTTAATAAAAATAAAACTTTAACTTTAATTAAATTATTATTTTTCTCTTAACGCCGTAACGTCTGTGTGCACCACTGAAACCTGTCCGGCGGAAGTTGTGTTGACGGGCTCGTCACAAAAGAAATGGCGAGCGGTATCGGCAGTGAGTAATATTTCACAACCTTTCTCTCGAGTTCCGTGATTTCACAGCAAAAAGCTACCATTAAACAAACAGCGGGCAGTTTAATTAATTAAGTTTGTCCCGTTACTCGATAAAACGTTAAATAACACCGTGTAGCTGTGTGTGTGTCTCATGAATGTGTCCCCCGTAATCAACACGGCTAAGCTAACGCTGATATTTGTTATTGTTATTGTGTTATTGTGTTATTGTCTGCAGAACCGCGGGTTATAGCCACTTCTCATTAAATGAGGGTGTTTTTTTTCCAACCCCCGTGCACTCTCAAGAAGCCATAACAAATATTTAAAGCATCACGTAAACATCAACAGTCTAGCTATCGGTGGCTAGGTAGCGAGCTAATTTTGATAAATAAATAAATAAATAAATAAAAAAGCTTAAAGTCGGAAAAGCAGCGCGGTTGCGGTGCGATTTATATATATGTTTAATGTTTACAGACAGTACGGGTTAGTTAGGTTATAATAATGTTTAATATAATTTAATGTTTAGTGTTATTTCTCCTAGTTTGTAACCTGACGCATAAATACTTTATCTTAATAACAAACCAGGAGCTGCTGGATAACCTTTGGATATTTTATATTTTATGTTATAATTTCTCTTGTGCTTTTTCTACTTTCTCCACAGAACACAAGATACTGAATGTGGGACCCACAGAGCCATGGTCGGTCAGGGAGAAGCTGTGCCTGGCCTCCTCTGTTATGAGGAGTGGCGACCAAAACTGGTAAAAGAAAACGTGTTCAATGTTTTTGTGGCAGTCAGACAGTGATTGATTAGAACAGAGGAGGTATTGATATTATCTTTCTATCTTTAGGGGTGTATACGTTTAATGGGGATAGATACGGAGCCCCTAAAGGGACATGGGGAAAAAATAAAAATGAAACGTTTCTAGTGCGCACTAGATAGTACTAGATAGTATCTAGTACTATCTAGTACTATCTAGTACTAGATAGTACACTATCTAGTACTATCTAGTGCGCACAAGGTAGTATCTAGTGCGCACTAGATAGTGCTAGATAGTATCTAGTGCGCACAACATACTATCTAGTACTAGATACTATCTAGTACTATCTAGTGCGCACAAGGTAGTACTAGATAGTATCTAGTAGTATCTAGTGCGCACAAGAGAGTATCTAGTGCGCACAAGAGAGTATCTAGTGCGCACAAGAGAGTATCTAGTGCGCACAAGGTAGTACTAGATAGTATCTAGTGCGCACAAGGTAGTACTAGATAGTATCTAGTAGTATCTAGTGCGCACAAGATAGTATCTAGTGCGCACAAGAGAGTATCTAGTGCGCACAAGGTAGTACTAGATAGTATCTAGTGCGCACTAGATAGTACTAGATAGTATCTAGTAGTATCTAGTGCGCACAAGGTAGTACTAGATAGTATCTAGTGCGCACAAGAGAGTATCTAGTGCGCACAAGGTAGTACTAGATAGTATCTAGTGCGCACTAGATAGTACTAGATAGTATCTAGTAGTATCTAGTGCGCACAAGGTAGTACTAGATAGTATCTAGTGCGCACTAGATAGTATCTAGTGCGCACTAGATAGTACTAGATAGTATCTAGTAGTATCTAGTGCGCACTAGATACTACTAGATACTATCTAGTAGTATCTAGTGCGCACAAGAGAGTATCTAGTGCGCACAAGATAGTACTAGATAGTATCTAGTGCGCACTAGATAGTATCTAGTTTTGTGGTTTGTGAGCACTAGATACTATCTAGTGCGCAGATAGTGTCTAGTGCGCACTAGAAACGTTTAATTTTTTATTTTTCCCCCATGTCCCTTTAGGGGCTCCGTAGATAGATAATCAACAGTTTTTGTTATTTATTTTTTTTAGTATAGCACAGTGGCTTACACCGTGTTATCAGCTGTTTTCTTTAAGGTTTCAGTGTTAAAAGGATGAAGAACATTTTAAACTCACCTGAAGTGATGAATCTAAATGTGTGTCTTCTTAGCCCTATTATCTTCACATATAAGCTGCAGACTGTCTGTTTTTGTGTGCAGATATTTAATATAAAATGTTAAATGTGGAATAAAGATTAAGTATCTCAGTATAACATTCAAGTTTATAAAGAGACACAAAATATTTACTGTGAACAAATCAGTCCAAGTATCTTTAACCTTTTAACACCTGATTTTTTTTACTTACTTCTAGACAACAATGATCCATCTACATTAACAAGAAAGAGAATCAACCTTGGTTGACACAACACAGTTGGATTTCCTTAATAAAAGAGGCAGAATAAAAGTTTTTCTCTTTAAAAATAAGCATATAAGCTCATATACATTAGGTGGTTATGCCCATGCTTTAGGATATGGTGCAAAAATACTAGTATGTGTGCTGTTGAATCTCAATTCTCACCACTAGAGGTCAGTCTTAGCCAAGTGATCAAGTAACCAGGAACCGGTCAGATCCACTGCTTATTGATTGTCACAGTCATGTGTAAAAAAAAAAAAATAATAATAATGTTATATAATACATAATAATAATAGTGTAGGAACAAATACAAATGGATCATTGTGTTGTGCTTTTGACAGTTGTGACATGATACTGTCCAGGATTTAGTGTTTTTTTTTTTTTTGTGTTCACATGACATTACTTATTTTCATAGCACCCTGGACCTCATTCACATATCTTAATTTATTCCTATTAGATTTTTTAAAATCAGTTACCACATGATTGTTCTCCCAACATGTGTGTTTATTCTGATGAATTTCTCTCTGTCCTCCAGGGTATCTGTAAGTAGAGCCATCAAGCCTTTCTCAGAACCTGGTCGTCCACCTGACTGGTTCTCACAGAAGGTGAGACAGCTACAAACCAACATTTTCTGCGTTTGTTTTTCTTAGAGCAGATTACTGTGCCGAATTCTTCTCAGACCATGATTAACATTTGCCTCAGGATAACAAATGTTCTCTCTGTTTCTCAGCACTGTGCCTCACAATACTCCGAGCTGCTGGAAGCCACAGAAGCACCTAAGTCAGTAATATAATACAGACACTCCTATGTGAAGAATTATAATAATGTGTTATTGCTTTTTTTTTTAAATTATTTGTTTATCATAGGTAAACTATTTTGTGAGTTGACTAAAAGTGTCTGTGCCCTCCGTTGCTCCAGGCGTAAGCGTGGTGAGAAGGGTGAGGTGGTTGAAACCATTGAAGATGTCATCGTTCGTAGGCTCACCACAGAGCGGATAGAGGAACTGAAAAAACTACTGCGGGACACACAAGAACAGTACAGGTACATACACATTTAAAATAAGGCTACTTTAAAGACGTTTGTGGACTGTGAGACCCGACCTCTAACCCTCCTTTGCTTTCTGTCCGGACAGGAAGTTGAAAAAGGAGGTGGATCTGATACAGACGGGTCACATGGACTCCCAGCTGAAGGAGCTGTGGGCAGAGATCACACTGTAAGACTATTCTTGATTGATTTTAAATGATTTCTCTCTATACAATTACTATTTTACTTATTAAATTCAAAAAGTGTATAAGTAGATGTTTAATTAGTCGCGCTCCAGGATACGTCTACCAGTAGTAATGTCATGTTGGTTGGTTGGTTCAATACAATAATACAGGAAGTGAAATACCTTGACAACTGTCAGGTGGATTTCCATGATGTTTTATACAGACGTCCATGGTTCTCATATGATGATGTAAGCTGGTCCAAGGTTTCAGTTCATCATCCTCAGCTGTAGTTAATGCTGCTATAGTATACAGGATTGTAGTCCAGTTAATCTTTAGGCAGTGCCTGAAATCACTTCCTATTTATAATATAATGCACCGCATTCACCCTCTCGAAAAAATAGTGTCCAATGTATATACACCACTTTCTGCTAACAATCCCACAATGCAGAACACTTCATTTTATGCTTTGGATGCAAAAATTAGTTTGTGTAACTCAAGATGACATAAGAAGACAATGACTCATAAGTGACCGAATTCTTCTCCTATTGAGTAAACTACTGAGTGTCTGTCAGATAGAGGGCAGTTGTGAACAAGAGGGTGATTTCAGACACAGCCATAGTGTCTGTGGGCCAGTGAGCAACAACATTGGAGCAGGTAATTGCTCAGTGACTCCTGAACAGTTATTATTACAAAGCATGGGAGAGGGTTCACACAGCTGCTTCTGCAGTTCAAACCTGCAGCCTTCAGCCACAATCATACCTCTGTCCTTTATGTCATTATACCATCCTATAAACCATCTTCCACAATTGTTAATTGTTAAACTGTGTGATTGCCCAACCTCAGAAAGAAGAAGCAGGATGAGGAGGAAGCAGAACAGAAGAGGAAAGCCACAGAGACAGCGTACCAAGGTAGGTTCGGTCTGCACACTGTTAAGGCCTTCTTTTGAAATATGTTATTTTTCTTCAGGACATCTGAGATATGTGAGCATTATTCTGAACTAATACTTGAAGTTACTTAATATTTGGTATGAATAGTACATTAAAAGGGGTCTACATAGACACAACACCAAATCCATCAAAGAAGATGTGGTATAACAAGATTTTTACCCACATGAGCTCAGTATATTACCCAGTCTAAATCCAACAAGTCTGCAACTACTAGAATACGTTGCGCCAGCCTCTTCTTGGAATAGTTTTTTTTTTTTTTAAATACTTGCTAAGACAAGCGATTGTTTCTTTCTGACTTGCTTTGGTTGGAACGACAGTGTTATCACATGATGCCTTGCTCATGGTTTCTGTACTGCAGTTTTTTTTCTGATTCCTTCAACTTAAAAAAGAGACTGATTCATTCTTTCTCTCACCCACTCTGACCTTCCCTCTCCATCACAGCTCGTCAGGCGGTGAAAAACACACCTAAACGTCTGCCCAGTGTTACTGTACGCTCTCCCTTGGGTGCCAGCCCCCCCACCGTGGACACTCAGGCTGACTCTTCGGTCCCCACGCCGCCTATGGATACAGGAGGTGTTGCCTCCGATGACACCACCACCACCACCACAACCACCACCACCACACACTCAGTTGTAAGGACAGACTCATATAGAACAGTGTTCTTATATACTCACCAGTGATGAGATACCCCAGGAATACTGCCATTACTGAGAGAAATGTGTGTTAAATAAGGGTTTTTTGAGTGAAATCAGCACTGTGGACTCTCTATGGGTCTCATTATGAGTCAGTGGAAAAAGATAATCTCACATTATGGTGGTTTTGGCAATCCCAGCTCCATGTGGAAGAAACTAGTTCAGATATTGCAGCTCACTGTGCCAACCACTCTCACTGATTCTTTGTTGCCTCTGCCAGGCCCAGGGGGTCGGAGTGTTTCTACCAGCGACTGATGCTCCAGGCCCAGGGCCCAAAGATGGAGGCCTTGCTGCTCTAGTAGATGACTCATCACAAAAGAGGCTCCTAGCCCAGAAGGCCACACCGCCGCCCTCACCTCTCCTGTCAGAACTGCTGAAAAAAGGCAACCTCATCTCAGCCAGCCCCCGCCTGGTGAGTGCCAGCTGAGCCTGGATCATTACATCTAAAACTAACAGGAATTAAAAATAGGATAGAAATATATAAAGAAACAAGCAAGACTCAGTTGTATATGCCACAAAGTTACTGTATTTAATTCAAAGTTACTTTATTTAATTATGTTCCCTGTGATATACTCTATAGACACTAATTAATTGAATGCTACTGTAAACCCAAGCTGTAGGAATACTTTTAAAATGTCATTGTGCAGTAAAGCAAAGGGTACTCACAGAATATTAATTAAATTATTAATTAATTTTAAATGGCTGGTTAATGAGGATGTAGATGATAGATTATGCAGCTTTTCAAGAGTTACAGGTTTTCAGCTCACAGTCTTATGTTATTACATTATTCAATTTAATTTTTTTATAGTGGTAATGATTCATAGGCAACAGATCTTACTGCAGTATTCTAATTTAATGTCAATTAATATTACCGGTATTTAACTTTATTTTCCACTGGGTCACTGTGAAAGTCATAGAGGTACTTAAAACCTAACTTTTGTTTTATTCCTGTATTTATTAATGTCAGGTTGGGGAGGGAGACTCTACTGGAAGCCTCACCAATGGAGTGCAAACAGCCACCGCAGTCACCGCCTTACCACCTGGTCATGAGGTCATCACAGGTAAATTTGCATAACTGTTCAGGCGTGCACACGGATCCACACGCTTGCTGTTTCTTGCACCATGAGACTGGATTCTGGCTATTGTAGCTCAGTGGCTTTTATTGCCACAAACATTCATGAATCTTTATAAAAGAATGAAAATATGTCCACCTGTGACTTTAAACTTTGTTGCCAAATGGTATTTATTCTCAGAAATTATGTGTGATACAGTAAAAAGTAGATGTGAAAAATTCTATTTAACCAGCCCTTGGTAGGTCTGGTTGTAGGTGTTGTTGGCCTGCACTGTTCGTGGCGTACAGAAGATAAATAAACTGGGTTCAGACCCAGTAATTACTTACAATTTTGCAGTGTGATGCTGCAGGTTTTTATTTTGTCTGTATTATTTCTTTCTCTGTGTGTGTTTGCAGAGGGAGAAGCAGAAGCTGCAGTGAAGCCAGAGCTCGAAGAGGAAACAGGATTAGTAGAAGAGGACCTTGTAGCTGTATCTTACATGGGTGACGAATTGGATCTGGAAACAGTAGGAGACATCATTGCCATCATAGAGGAGAAGGTACATACTGTGTTTATTTGTAAAAGGTTCCACATCAGTTTGCATTATTTACAATCAAAGAGGAGTATGCTAGTCATTTAAATCCACAGAAAATCTATTACTGCACCAGCAGGTGGAAGAGTGATGTATAAACACATTGAAGCACCAGGCTTTGAAATTTGTATTCTTATTCTAATGCCTTATAAGAAAATCCTTATACCAAAAAGAGGAGTTTTCTGTTGTTTGGTAACCATTGCAGTGTTTTTTCAGTATGAAATTCATTTTTGTCTTGTCTCTGTCCTTTCCTTCTTCTCCCCAGGTCGATGACTCTGTGGAAGCCTTGGACGCAGCAGCAGTGGAAGCAGCTCTCTCTCTGTGTGAAGAGGCCGTCTCAGAGGGACACACCCTCCCTGGCCCCTGGGAGACCCAGGAGTTGAAGTCTTCAGACCCAGCACCCACAGTCCAAAACACGGATTCCACACAGGAGCCTCAGAATGTGACTGCAATGTCCGCTATGATCCCAGCAGGCATAGACACCCAGAATCAACCAGAAAATAAAAGAGAAGAACAGCTTAAGGGAAACTGTGAGGGACCTGAGGTAGGAAGTGATATCATCTCCTCTGTCACCTCTGACGACGGTGCAACAGGAAGTGAGGTTACAGAGGAGGGGGCGGCAGGGAAGGAGACCACTGAAGCAACTGTCAAGAGTGAAGGAGAGGAATGGAGCCAGCCGGAGCCTAACCCACCTTGCCTAGGTGGGTGGTGTACTTATGTAGACGTACACACAGCAGTCATGATTATATACTGATGTTTTTCTAATCCTCTTCTCATTTTTGTCCCACAGACTCTGAGGACAGCTCTGTGTCTGGGAAAGAGTCCAAGGTAAAACACTGCTGCCCATTTACACACATGCACAACCTTTGTAAAACAGTAATTTTACTCAGAGTATGTGCGTTTGTGTGTTCTCAAATCTAGGAGGTGAAGGAGGAGGAGGCGGGGAGTGAGGGTGACCCAGAAGAAGGGATGGAGTTGAAGGAGGAGTGCGGGGAGGGGGAGGGTCCCTATCTGTCGGAGGTGGAGCGGGCAGCCAGCGAGAGTGAAGATGGTTACGGCCCGCCGTCCCAACGCTACACAGCTGATTCACTGGCCAGCAGCCCGGCCTCTTCTTCCCAGCTGTAGGTGTCCACATGTGTTCATGGTTCCAGAAAGGACTATGATAATTAATTTTGATCTATTACACTATTTAGGCTTGTGTGAATCCACGGCCATGTCCTAGAACAGGGGTAGACAACCTGCGGCTTTTACACACCAAATGTAAAAAAAAAAACATTTTAAAATGTCCTCATCTACAATGTTCGTCATACATTACCTCCTGACCTGTTGCCTTTTCCTCTATATTTAGCTGAACCTCAATAGTGGTGGCTACTACTCTTGAGTCCGTCGAGCTAGCGAACTATTACTCCAAACTTACTTAATTATTACTACTCCAAATTCTAAAAAAAGAAATGTCTCGTGCGTGGGCAGATTTGTTTGGTTGCGCCACCAGCGCTGCTTACTCTTTTTTTTTTTATTAAAGGTTGTTGACCCCTGTCCTAGAGTAACCCTTGCCCCAACTGAAAACATTTTAGGAGAAATGAAGATAAAGCTTAGCTGTCATTTGTCATGAGTACTTATGTCGTGACCTCTGAATCACATTTTGAGTCCATTTCTCTGAGTTAAGCAGTCTTTGGCTGCTGACAGTAAAATGTGCTTTTGTCTCTCTGCTACTTGTGATTTCTCTTCTACTTCCCGTTTCCATTCACCTTGGACTTTACAATCCTCTCTACGTTCCCACTCTGTCTTCACTTCCTCTCTTCCTTCTCTCTCTGCAACAGATCTACATGTGGTGAGGACCAGGAGGCAGTCCAGGCCCAGAAGATCTGGAAAAAAGCCATAATGCTGGTGTGGAGAGCTGCAGCCAACCACAGGTGGAGTTTCTTTCAATGCCTCAGCCTCAACAATGAAATAAACCTTAGCAATACCTCTCAGTCAACCTCAGAATGTTTTTTAGCACCTCAATTTTAATGAGACATCACATGATATCATATAGCAGGAGACTTCTTGGCCAACAAAGGATGATCAGTATTAATGGATATTGGGCTGTACCCAGAATTTAAAAAATACTGAGGTTGTGAGTGTCTGGGCCCTGCAGTGCAACCTCAAAAAAAAGTTGACTAGGCTGTATTTTTTCCACCTTTCAGTTAATTCAGCTGATCAGTCATGTTTTCTGTTGTGAAATGAAGAGTGTAAATCCCCACTATGTGAAATAGTAGACTGTGTACTCTTCCCCATAAGTGCAGACAGAAGAGGAGACAAGGCAGTTTGTATTACTAAAACCATAGCTATCTAATATCAGCTAAATATCTGTGAAACAAGCACATAAATGGGATACTCTAATTAGGCCTAAATCTATGCTGAACCCTGTTGTCTACTAATTGTTTATCCAGCATTTGTGCATGAAGACCAAGTTTTGGAAAAACGTAGTCTGGTCTGGAATAAAAAGAACAGGGAAACAAGTGTTTTACAGTTACTGAATTCATGTTTATCTCAGGTATGCCAGCGTCTTCCTGCAGCCTGTGTCAGATGACATCGCCCCTGGTTACCACAGCATTGTACACAGGTAAGAACTCACTCACAAACGTGCACTACACTGGCTGTTTTAATAAAATTACAGCTCGCATGCACACAAAGTATTCTGACACATGCTGCAGAGAATCCAAAGAGCATTCATACCACACCAAAATTCTCCCTTGCAGCGAATAGGAATAAGTTAAATGATGGTAAAAGATGTTGATTGTACAAATAGAATAAATAAATTCACCTCCCCCTCCCGTGCTGCTCCAGACCCATGGACCTGTCGGCCATTAAGAAGAACATTGAGTCCGGTGTGATCCGTACAACAGCTGAGTTCCAGCGCGACATCATGCTGATGTTTCAGAATGCCGTCATGTACAACTCGTCGGACCATGACGTGTACCACATGGCGTTGGAGATGCAGCGGGACGTCCTGGAGCACGTCCAGCAGTTCTTGGCCACCCAACTCATCATGCAGACCTCAGAGAGCGCCATCTCCGCCAAGAGCCTCCGCGGCAGGGAGGGAAATCGTAAGCCTGGGGAGCCGGCTGAGAAGGTGGGTTGGGTGACTTGGTCGGGGTCGAATAAGAATTCCCTTAAAAATCTGTGTCAAACAAGTCTTTTTGATAACACGCTCTATAAACTGTCAATGTTTGAAACTCAACTGTGAAATATGTTGTAGTGTTGAAATATCAACAGACATTTTGGGAGGAGCGACTGTAACAGCTTACCTGCTGTGGTCCACTCACTCAGGTGTTATATATGTACTTTGGTGAGCTCAGCGAGCTCCATGCATTCAGTAGCTCCACCTAACTTTAACCCGAGAAGAGGTCTAATGAGAATAACTTTGATTACTTACAGGTGGTTAAAGGTTTCAGAGAGATGGATGCTGTTGACTTTACACTTTTCCCCCGCTGATGTAGTTTGATGACCATGTTTTCTCCTGCTGCTGGTGGCAAACAGAGAATCTGTATGAAAATACATTTACAGTGTGGAAAGGATATCCTAACCACTAACTAATTTCCTTTGTTACTTAGCAGAATGTCATTTTAAAAGCCTTGTGGACATAGTTTTGATTTGTTGTGGTCAGTCTGGTTCTCATATTATTACTAAAATGTGTCTCTATATACATTTTGCTAATGCTCAACGCGTCTTGACTGACCAAGACGGCTGACATTTATTAATCCTGGACTATTTTAATGGATTAAGAGCAACACTGTATTATAAATTCTGGGCCTTTGGATTGACTTTTGCTGTTCAAGTTTTGTTTCTTGTCGTATCATTTTCAGATTATGTATTTGATCCTAAAACAGTATTGATCACCACTGATGAAGTGTGTGTGTGTGTTTCTTTCCATCCAAATGGGACAGTTTTCTGATGTGATTAAATGTAAATTTTACTATCTTAGATTATATATTATTATATTATAATATTGTGAAACTGTTACTCCAGTTTCTCTGTTCTGTTAAGAATTCAACCGTAAAGAAAATGGGTACATTTTTGACATTTTACTTGACATTACATTGAACAATATACCTTAGTACATCATGTCTGCTGAATCCATGCTACTTTTATATCTATAAATTTAAAGAACCTCGACTCAACTCAAACAAAGGCTTTAGTCTTCTCATTTTGGCTAATTACAGGCTTACTGTAACTGAATCATTGTACACTCATTTGTTCATGTGTAGCCCGCTGTCACTCAGAGTAATGTATGCTGAAATGTGAAGTACCAGAACCAATGAGGACACACAGCGGATCATTTTGGTGCCTATCTCTCAAAATCTTGACACTGATGATATATTTGCATTCACATCGGCATCATATAAGTCAGACCAACACACATTGTTGAATACATGTTGGAGACATCTGGTCAGCTCGGTGCAGTTGTCACCAGGTCCACTCTCCTCTCCGCTTGCTGCAATGTGCTTCAGTGGAATAATGCCTAGTCTTGACTTCCCAGCTGATTCATGTCCTGCATGTTGGCTGCACCTCTCCTCACTAACTTCTGTCTGTCTGCATCTGCCTGTCACTGACTCAACTGTTTGTCTGCTATTGTCCGCAGTGAACGTTTATGTTTGCTGTTCTCTGTGTGGGTGTGTGTATACTACTTTATCTCAGTTGTGTGAATGCGGGAGTTGTGAGTGTGTGTATGTAACAGGCTTCCTGTTGGTCATGGCATTTTTGAAGTATCATGGAATTTAGATATGTGAGTTCCAGACGGGGAATATTTGGGAATTTGCTAAATTTACCTGGGAAGTCCAGAAGTATGGGTGAATTTTGCAAATGGTTTGCTAAACAGAATATATTTTAGAAAATGCTCCACAAATTAGTTAAGCTGTTCCTCTACACAACTTTACTTACCTGAACAATATTAAAAAATAACATTTTGAGCTCATGGAAGTGCTACGACTGGATGAAAGTCATGATATATTTCATAGGGGCCATGATGAGAATTGTGGTATAGTGTGTATGTGTGAGTGTCTGGTGTGTTTATCTACGTCTGTGTATCTGTCCCTTATATATCTTACTATTTACTATCTGCGTATGTGTGGATATCTGTCTCTTTGACGTGTGAATATTTGTCTGTGAATGTGCCGTGCAGCGGTCGAATGGACGCTCGTTCCTCGGAGTGCTTCTGTGTTTGACGCAGACTTGTATGAAACTTGCTTTCTCACGCACATGTGTGTGTTTTCTCTCTCTTTCTCACTCCAATGTTTGTCCTCCTACAGGACAGTGTCCCAATGGCCTCTCCTGCTTTCCTTCTCTCTCTCTTTGTAAGTATTCAGGTTCTCCCTCAGATTTCACCAGAACCGGGCCACGCTCCGCACACGCTTGTCTCAACGCAGACACACACATACACGATGCACATATCTGTCTTTACCTCTCATCGCTTTTCTTTCTCTCAGTACAGTTTAGTTTCTAGTTTAGTGTCATTAAAGGAAGCAAAACAGTTTGAAGCCTTAAATTAGTCATAAAAGCCATTAAAATCTGAGCACTATTTTTAGTGTTGGAAATAATGTAACTGCAAATATTCAGTAACTTCAACAGTTTCAGGTCATTTTAAAATTCCTTCCTTTCAGTGTCGGGGGTCATTAAACATTTTTAGCTATTTCAACATAAAAGCCACTGTTAAAACCTATAATTAAAGATTAGATCCTAAATATTGATTATTGAGACTGTACTACATTTACAGTATGTGTCTTGGTCACACAAAAAAAAGGTCTAAAGGATCTGAATCAAGGTTATTTTAGTGTTTTATGTTAAATAATAAAAATACAAAATCAGCCAATATATCTATTGGGGTTTTTAGTTTTGGTTTTTAAACTCTCAGATATCGATGTCAGTACTGGTCTCTAAGATCCTGTATCGGTCAGAGCAAAATGCAGTTACGTGACATAAATATTAAATTTTAACCATTAACATAATTAGAAATGTAAATTTTTAACGTGATGTCTAAAACCCTTCCAGAAAATATCAAGTGGAAGTAATTTGTCTTTATTTAAGTGTTAGTTAATATGATTTAATGTCTCTAACACTAAATATTAAAAAGAAAATGAGAAACAATCTAAGTTAAAGTAATATTATTTATTGTATTTACACTTGATAGACAGTTGCAATATAATAATAATGATAAAACCTTACAAATGCCACGAACAGCTCAAACCAGTGAGACGAAGATACACAAAAATACTGAAATATTTCATGTAAAATGTTCTACTTTTTGTAGAACCTCAACAGTCGTAGTTGAGCTGAGAAAACAGGTTTTCATGATCTTTTCTGTCTTTTTATTTCAGCATGATACAACGTCTTTGACTGTTTCTGTAGAGGTTTTTCCAACCATTACCCAGTAATAAACTTAAGTATCAAATGCTCAGTAGTACTGAAGGAAAAAAACCCAGACCATCAGTACCCAGCCACAATCAGCTGTAAAGACGTCTGATAACAATTTCTCTTCCTCTTCCTCTCTCTGACAGTTTCACACACACATCTCTGAACACACTGTCCGTGTCACCCTCATAAACTTTAAGTTCTGTTTGGACACAATATTCATACACACACACACACACACACACACACATACATATACACACACACACACACAGGCTCCAGTAACCTTTCATCACCCAAGCTTCCGTCGACCTTCCGTTAATGACCCCATGCCGGTTTCCTGTGTTTTTCTGTTTTCGTGCGATTGTCTGTGTCTCTGCATGTTCTAATTTCTTTTCTCCTTCTTTTCTTTTAAAATCTTCCTTTTTTGATCATCATTGTTTTATTTATTTATTTATTTTATGTTCTTCATTTTGGGAGGAAGCCTTCCGAGGTGGACTGTGCTGTGTTTATTTGTGCGGAGCTCAATCGCGTGAGGAGGCCTGCCACAGGGCCTCCCTTCTCTCTGTCCAGCTGACCTTTGACCTTTACACCCTTATGTTAACTTTTCCTCCTGCTCTCGCTCTCTTTCTTTTTCCCCCTTTCTCCCTCTTTCGCCTGTCTCTCTGCCGCAGGACGGAGGCACCAGGGGTCGTCGTAGTGCCATGGAGGCCGACCTCAAAATGAAGAAATAGACTGAGATATCAGAGAACGAGACACTTTGAGATACAGAGAGCCACTCTTGGAATCGGAGGTGGTGGAGCTAAATACTTACTGGTCACCTTGGTTGTTTAATGAAGAGGACTGTGCAGTCTCTGTGTGCCTGGTGTATGTGTGTGTATGTGTGTGTGTGTGTGTGTATACATACGCACTTATTCATCCGTGCAGTGCCGTAGACGAAGGGTATATATGTGAATGGGTGTGTCTGTCTGTGTGAGAGAGAGCTGCATCAAGCTTCCTCTTCTTCAGTTCATATGATTGGTTAATGTGCAGCGCCATGGGGATTTCACTCCAGGCCAAACAAGCCATGGCACCACTTACCCCAAGTATAATTTCACCAGCGACGGTTCATCATTTCCCTCTGCAGAGGAGGAGGAGGAGGAGGAGGAGGAGGAGCGGCGAAGGGAAAGAAAACTCTGTCACCAGCAAACATTAGTTTGGGACCTGAATAATTTAGTGCAGGATGAGTCCTGTTTGTCAGATTTGATCATGTTGAATCACGGATGCATTAATACTGGTACTGCATGTGAAATGCAACCAAGATACTGAATCTATATCAGTTTGATCACTGCTATAATATGATCCACATAAAAGCTATTAGGAATCTTAACAACTGGAGTTTTTTGCCTTTTCTGATAAATGTAACAGACGATGGCTGTCTTCATTAAGAAAAGCTGATGACGTCACCGTCTGCTTTGCTTAGTCACGGGTTTGAATGCTCCCGTGTTGTCCATGTTTCAGCCCATTAACTGCAAATTGCATTTACATTTCTGCTGACTGTTTTCCAAAGAACACGTTTATAGATTAACTACCCACCTTTAAGCAGCCCTCAGCTTCCATAAAAACCCATAATCCATAAACTAGAAATCAATCTAATAACTAGCTGCGATGTGAAAGTTGCTGGAGAGCTGTAACCCATCGCTGTAAACAATATGGTGCCTTTTTGTTAAAGTCACATCAACATCGTGGTACTGAAGTGAGCAGGAACCCTTTTCTAAGTCTATTAGGTGTTGCATTCAAGTGCACAAGGCGTCAAAAGTCAGAATAACTATCATGGAAGAGGGTTTTTTTTAGCATTTATAAGGTTGCTTCTACATCTCAGATGTCAGTGTCTTTGAAATCACCAACAGAGCTTAGGAAACAATTCCTGCACATAATGATTATATAACTTGGACGGAAAAACAGTGAGTCAACAAATTATTCGCTTGATTAATTACCTTAACTTCAAATACCCGCCACAGCTCATTTTTATGTCTTAGTGAATTGAATGTAAATCAGTAGCGGCCTTTGAAGGTTAGAGAATCAGAAACTGCTCTAATAACTAATCAATACAGTTTAATCTGTAAAATAGTTGGCAGTAATGTCATGCTTTGGTTTTAATGGGCTGAAATAAAGTATGTGGAGATTGGTGTTGCTGAAATAGTATTGATGCATCCCTACTCATCACTGTAGCGCGTGTGTGTGTGTGCGTGTGTGTGTGCGTGCGTGCGTGTGTGCGTGCGTGTGTGTGCGCTATGTAAATGGAATAAGAAACGTGTTTGTGTAATGTGTGTTAGATGGGTGTACAAAAACAAGTTTTGTACTTGTGAGATGGATTATGTAGAGTTTTGTGTTTGGGTAGCTGATACATGTATCATGTGTTCTGTTGTACATTTGTTAAATAAAAAAAAAAAGATTATTTGATCTAAAACTGAAATAATATGAGAGTTGTGTATTTGCTGTTTGTGTGTCTCGGTCACTTCAGGGTCGTTGGAGATCTGCTCTCACCAGCTGCATTCGGTGCTCTAAATGGGCTCATTGAAACGATCTGGCACACTTTTAACCTTTTATATGATCATTTTCTTTTACTCTAAACAACTCGAAGCTCAAGAAGTCGTAAGTCATTAAGTGTTGGGGGCCCATAAATTGTCAGCAGATGTCGTGAATATGTGTGATGTCCCCTGGGGAAGACGGACAGTGTTTTACAGTACACACAAACAGGGTCGCATTATCAGGATGTAAAAAAGGTAACTAATCATTACAGTAAGAGAAAAAAGAAAAATGGGGATTGTTAAAAAAAATTCACTGAGCAGAAGATACATTTTTGATGTTATAAATCTTCATTTCTATTTTCTTTGAGTTGTCTTACAAAAAAAGTATTTGGCGTTGAGGTAGTCCAAAATAATGGGAAGTAATCAAGTTACATTACTTTATTATTTTGTGATACTTTTTTAAACAGGTAATAAATAATTGTATTACATTTATAAAGTAACCCTCCCAACCCTGCTCACCGGTATCAACAGCAGACTATATAGCAGCACTCAAATACAAGCACAGGACAAAGAAATCGTAGTGTAAAAAGTTTATTTTACAATCGCATAAATAACTAAAAAAAAGTACAGCACACTTCAGGAGTGAGACCTGCCCAGTCCTGGAAGGAAGTTCTCTTTTTTTTATGTTTACAGTGTACACGTTTAACATTCAACCATCCTGTGCAAAATACTGTGGTCACATTGGCTACAGAGTGTAGCAACACAAGCAGTTTGACCTCCTGCTCCAAGTTAGACATTCATACACCAAACAAAGAACAATCCACTTCCTTAGAGCCAAAATATAACAGTGCATTTCAGGCCGTGTGCATGTGTAGCCTGAAAGAAGATACAACTGTGTATTTAACATTCACACCAGAAAAAAAAAGGGTAATCAGTGAAACAGGGGTTTACATTCAACTCTGTGCCCTTAGTTGAAATCATGAATGACCGGGCTGGCAGAGGAGTAGAGCTTCCTCTTCACCAGCCGGTACTCGGGTCTCAGTTTCAACACTTTGCTGGTATCAAAGATGTGCATGAGTGGCGGCCAGCCGTCGCCCTTGTCCGCTTTGAAAATGACGGACAGCTCAAACGTCGGGGTGACACTTGGGTCTGGGAAGATGCTCCCCACAGGCTTCAGGCCATCTTTGCCCTCCACGTAGACCTTGATGGAGGCTCCCCGCAGCCCACAGGGCTCGTCGGCAGAGGAGCGCACCACGTCCTGGCCCACCCTGGAGGTCATCTGGCGAGGCAGCAGCAGCACCTGGCAGTGGAGGGCGGAGGCTTTGGCCTCTGTTAGACATTGCTCTATCTGCCGGGTCACGTCCTGCTGAAGGAGCCCCTCCTCGTGCTCCAAACCAGCGTCCAGGTTGGCAACTGTGGAAAGAGATCAAGAGTGTTTGTTAGAATACGTTTTAAAGTTTTTTTTGACACATTCGTCATAGGTGTAAAAACCTACTTGGCAATAAACATAATTCTGATTCTGATTTTTTATACCATTTGTCAAATACAAATCCTGCATCTTATCAATAAAGTGAGTTTGACCCTCGTTCAATCATTTTACTTTTGGTTACTACTTTTATCATGAGATACATGTGTGTCAATACTGCCTTAAAATAAAGGAGTCATCAGAAATAAAGAGTTTGTATCAGCAGCTGAGAGGAAGAACAGCTCAACAACCATCAGCTGATCCCAGACCTGGATCAGTTACATCAGAAACTTAGAAATCGGCTAATTAATTTGTTCTTCCGCCAAATTATATAGTTCCAGTCGCTATTTATGAATTTCTTATTACCACAACAAAAACTACATTCAACTTTTTTTCCCCTTCCTTTTCTTAAAACTTACAAGGTGAGTTAGAATCTCTCTCGTCCCAGCTTTCGACGCTCCCCCGCCGGACTGAAGTCGTCTTTCGGCCCGGGGACCTGCGCTGGAAGAAGTACTTCCCGATCATCTCTACGAGGCTTTCGTCCTCCGACAAGACGGGCACTCCGTGTCCAAATATCAGAGCCGTGGTATAGACCATCCTGATTCCTGTCCGTGAAGCTCCGGTGTCTCCTCCGAGGGTTTGGTCTGAGTTTGCTCCATGTAGTGAGAGAGTCGAGCTGAGCGGCTGTCGGAGCGCAGCGCGCAGCTTTTATACCGGAGGCGCATCTAGTTGCATCAGCTGAGCGCTTACACGTTTGTGGGCGGGACTGACCGGTTCAATCGAGAAAGTTCCTGATTTTGTGGCTCACGCAACATGTCCGGGCATTACACTGAGAGCTAATACACACACATATAGTTAATATAGGAATAAGAGAAGTGGAATATAAAGCGACTCTTGTAACTTTTATATGTGTTCATTTACTTTTATTGGTGTTTCTAACTGAGCTGACTGTAGTAACAAATATCTCCAATAGTATTAATTTATATGAGAATGAAAATACATTTGAATCTGCCCCCAGAGTGTTTGTTTTAACCTCTCTTCATAGCAGTTTATTACATATTTATTATTATTTGCTCAACATGCAACTCTATATAATTCTTCATTCTTCAACTAAGATCCATTTTGGTCTTGAAACTTTTATAAAATTGAACATGTATTTTATGGGAAAGGGGAAAAAATGACATTACATGAAATTATATATCATTTAACTATCAGGAAGTGTTTTTTACACAGGATGGAGAAATAAAACATATATCTATTCCAACATTCAGAGGAAATCATCACACCACAAAAAAAAGTGTTTTTAAACAAAAATTATTTACAGACCTTCTGTTTTCAGAATATTTAATGAAAAGTTGAACACAGATGTGCCCGAATGTGTAAGTTTATTCATATTCAGGATTTTAAATAATATTTCTTTCTATTTTTTTGGATGAAAAACATCTTTCACTAAAGTCTTTCAATCAATTTCTTACATTTCACAATAAAGAGTCTTGGACAAAGTAGTATTTGGTTGGAATAAACCTTTAAAATTATAATAGAAAGTAGTATTTAGCGAGGTTGTGAAAAACTAGGGTCCTTGAAATAAAGATCCTGAAAGTGCTGCTTCTGGTACTGCACGGACGTGTTAGTGCTACAACCAGGGCTGGGAGGGTTACTTTAAAGATGTAATCTGATCCATAACTCAGTTACATGTAATCCATTACTCACCAAGCCTGGCTACAACTACTACTTCCCAAAACTGATAATAATCAACTAAAGAAAGCATTTACTTTATTTCTCCCCTTTTTTAAACTTTTTTACTTCATTTATCCAAAAGTAGGTAGTAGTTACTTTACAGATAAAAATTCTCATCGCAATGTCAGCTTTAACTACCACACAGTATTAAATAGGAACTAAATAAAAAAGCTAAATAAAAATAACTACATGCATTGGGCGTTTGCAGAGTCACAAGATGAGTTGATAACCACAGCAGCCTTTCAGAGGGGAAACTGTCGTACAGACAACTGCTAATAAATATAATTACCTGATAGAATATGATGCAGTGTCGTAGATTAAGCTACCCCACAGTAATAAATAGGATAATACTTTTTTTTAATTTAAAGAACTATCGAATTAGTTATTATAGGAAATAATCAACTTAGTTTTCCATTTGTACACTTGCAGTTCATTAATTACATTATTAATACATGAATTGTTGCATAATCTAGAGAGTTAGTGAGGCTACTGAAAATGTAAAACTGTTTAATCTGTCTGCAGGCAAAAGCATTAAATTCAACATATATAGAAAATAAAGTTTCCCATAATAAATAGATCATTAATTGTATTTACTTAAAATAGAGTTTTCCTTAAAGGAAATTCACATTTTCACCCTTATCCCCAAATTACAGAGTTTTTTCCAGGAAACCTCCTAAAATACTAAGAAATGACAGACACATGAAATAAAACGTAACTCTATTTATATTCATCTCCACCAACAGTATTAAAATGCTGCTCACACATTGAATGCACTGGTATTAATTACCCAATAATAAAATAAAATACAATAAAACGAGTACACTTTTGATAATTGATATAAAAAAGTTACGTTACTAATAAATGTAATGGGCATATAAATTAGGCTGCTGTGGAAATGTACTAGCCTATGATTCATATAAAGATCATACATTATGTGGTCTAGATAAATATAATTATATGAATTGGGCGTATGAAGTGTCAGAAGAGAAGTTGATGACCACAGCGATGTTTCAGAGGGGAAATGTTCTTGTGCTACAGGCTACTGCTGCGGCTAGTACATTAGTAAAACCAGTGTACAAGTAATGCATGTGTTAGTGCAAGAAGTAATATGATCCAGAAAGGGGGGAAGTATGGGCACACAAATAGAATGAAAAGTAAGTTAAAGGAGTAAAGTAAGTAAAAAGCAGTATGTTGAGTAAGTCAGCATACAATTATTTAAACACACAGACAGTTAATTGTGTGGGTGATGTTTAATGTGGTTGTTTTGAAAGGGTGTTGTCCAGTCTGGGGGGCATTCACGTGGGACAGTCAGAAGTGCTCCACCTGATTTCTTTTATTTGAGAAAAGCCTGTTGGCAAAAGCAGGGAGAGGTTCTCCCACAGTCGCCCAAAACACAAAGCGAAACGCCGCTGACGACCACGCATGTTTCTACCAATGCTGAATATTTATTAGCATTGCTGAGCGATAAACATTATGTTTTAATTTATCAAGTTAATTCTGTTAATGTACATGTATAGTAACATCTAGAATTAGCATGTTGTCTCTTTAAAAGGTATTTCTGGCATGAAGGAAAAAAAATCCAGGCTGGATAAATACATAGCTGTAGGCACTCTTACACAGTTTAACCCCTAACCTGCCATGAATGTTAAGAAACTGAAAGAAATTACATAGAAAAGTACACTTTTATGTATATTCCTGACATTTTGTTCATTGAGAACATCTGCTTTAAGTGTCCTGTGGGGCAGTTTATGTGTTTCTTTTTACCTGTGAGCACATCAGATCTAGACGTGGTTGCATGAGCTCTGCCTTACTCACAGGTGAGTAACATGGTCTGACACACAGCAGTCAGACACACACACACCTGGTGGAGCATCGGAAGTGTATCCACCAAACACAGGACTGTATTTTCCCCTCTCTCCATGTATTGCTTAAGATTTGTCCAACTCCCCCCACCGCCATGTAAAATATTCACCCAAATTAGATCCACTAGTGGTTGGCAAACATGAATAAGAAATTACCGTAGTTCTTCATCATATTAGTGAGTATTAAAAAGAAGTTATGTGTGTACGTGTATATATATATAAAGGAGATACAAACACTGTTGTGTTAAGTAGTTTTGTAGTCCTAACCCTGGTTTTATCCTAGTGACTAATCTGAGTACATATTTGTTTAATACATATTTGTGCTGTAGATTAATGGTGGAGAATAGAGGAAACTATACTTAAAATACTCATATTAACATTTTCTTGAGTTGCACGTATTTGTGGTTTAATAGTAAAATTAGTAGGGTTTGCCTCTGAAGTCCTCCTCTGAGGGTGCAGACGTGAGAGCAGACACTGACGCGGAAGGTTGTTCGCCTGCAGGTTAACTTCTCTCCCCTGACTCACCTTCTTGTGAAATCTCCCTGCTGTGACATCACAGCTGCTAACCAATCATGTTCAGATTAGATGCTTTCATCAGAAAGTCTTGCCACCAAGGAGGAAGTGTCTTTCAGAGGAACTGCTGGGGGAACTACTGTGCGGTGACAGTGACAGTTTGTGCTCATTACCTCAACAATATTGCCTTTCTTTCTCTCTGACCTTGTATATGAAACACAATACTGGTGTAATTTATATAACAAATGTATCATTGTTATCCGTTCCAAATGTAAACCTACTTTAATGCATTAAAAATAGCATTTTTTTTTTTACACTTTAACTTGAACAATCATTACAAAGTAATGGTGGTCACTGATTCAGTGTTTCGTGATATTTTATGAAGTCATGGCTAACTGAATGAACAATGAGTCACATGTTAAATGCACTGTGGACATGCAGCCGTTTGCGAAACTGCAAATAGATTCTAATGGAAAAAGATAAGATAAGATAGACTTTAATGATCCCACACTGGGGAAAGTCACTTGTTACAGGAGCTCTGATTAAAACACGGCAGATAAAATACACATTAAATAACAAAATAAAATCGAAAAATACGAGAAAGAAATAGAATTAGAGTTGTATGTATAAAGAATAAAAGATAACAACTATACAGGAAGGGCTGATGTAATTCCCATGAGAACAGCATTATAGATTAGGCATTGAGTGACAGTATAGATCAGGGGTTTCGAGGACCCCTACAATAGATACACATAGACCACGGACCCCCAACAGAGGGGAGGAGAGTATTTTGTCTTAAGGCAGTGGTTGCCAACCAGGGGGATCGGGACCCCCACTAACGGAGGCCAAAGCTTCAAAGGGGGTTACAAGGTCTTCTTGATTTTAAGAGGTCTAAGAAAACTTATACCTATATCTCAGCATTTTGTCTTATTCTGTGAAGAAAACTAAATTAAATTGTTTGCTTAGATAGAGTGTATGATTGTTAAAAAATTAAAAAAATACACAGTACTGACAAACAATTGTATAAAACGTTTATAAAAAACTAATCTCTAACATAATATTTACAGGAAATAATCAGCTCAAAATTCATCCAAACTGCTCGTTTTACACAGACTTCCTGCAGTTATTGTGTTCACTATTTGGGTTCATTGTACAGTTTATCAGTTGCTCTGTACTGTTAACATCCATATCCATAAAATACAAATAATGAAAAATCAGAGACAGCTTGTTCCAGTGAGTCTGGGGTCAGAAAAGGGATCCTTAAGGAAAAAGGTTGGCAACCACTGTCTTAAGGTATCCCCTCTTGAGTATTTAAGGTAATAATGTCTTCATATTTAACGATCAAACTAGGATTACTATAAACTACAATCAATCAAAACGGCCAACCCTATTTCTTCCCTTGTTGGTCCAACTTTCAAAAAAAAGTTAAAATCTTCCATACATTCAGCTGGGGATCCCCTACAACCAACTCACCTAGTGGTAATTATAAAAGTATGTAATAAACCCTGCTGGTATGTCACTCAATAATCCCATAGACTGAAACTAATTTATTACCAGTGCAGATGAGCTCAGGCCACTGATATTCA